GGCAACACAAGTGATGACCGTTTCCTAATGGAAAGTGGTCCAGCCGGTCAATCAAACGTCATTCCTATGGTGCTTTTGCCCGCCTCCCCCACACCCAGCTTTGTTGCAAACTCGCAGGGCATGCTTAGCTACATGCCTGCCTCCGTTTCGACTGTAAGACGCTTCGGTGGTCAGTCACCAGTCAACCCTGGCGGAGTATTTGTCGATCCGTCAACAGGAGTAAGTTATACTGCAGTTCCGCAGTCGCAGTTGATCCATTCAAGCGGGCCAATGTACGCTCGCCCGAGCTCTTCCAATACCATCGGGTCAGACCGGATTTCGCTAGGCTCGGGCTCGGATCGCTTCTCAGTGCACAGTGAGTCCCGACAGAAGCGGGATCAAGTCCGGCTTGCGGCCTCGCCGGCCGCCGCCTACTATGTTTATCCCGTCGCGTCAGTAGAGTCCACCCAACCATCACTGTCCGAACAACAGATGTCGTCAATTCCTAGTCCAACCCAACAACTGCGGCCTTTCCTTGCTGTCTCGCCCTCCACTGAAGTGCTCCCACGCCGTCCACAGCCCGCCAATGTCGCGCAACGTACCAACCGGCGTGAGGGTGTCGTGGATGCATTAAATTCCAGCCAAGTTGCTGCCGGTTATGCTCCTTCCGGTATGGCATTACTTTAGAAGTTTATTTGCATAACTATGGAACGTAAACTTAAACCTTACTTAGACTTGTTTTATTAAATACATCTTCCCCATGCACATCTTTCACGTTTCTGTGGTACTATCATATTGGTAAGGCATAGAAATTGTAATCCCTCGTAGTATTTATGACCTTGCGCTATAGGCCAGGCATATTACAGTTAAGATTAGAGTTTGAGTTAGACTTAAGACACTGGAATAGGTACCCTTCTTGGGATTTAGTGCAAGAGCACTGGTAGTATGGGTCGGTTCCCATTCCTTTGTCTTACCGTCGTATTTAAATCGTTGGAAGCGTCTTTGTTTCAATGAGTAATAGCTAGCATGTGTACATATTTTCACGTGCACAAAGGCAGTTTTTAACTCGCAACTCAGCACCGTTATTCTGGGATAGGCACTTCAAAAGAAAGCTTCGATCGAAGAGTTGGGCTTCAGAGCACTCAAAATTATCCGAATATTTTACATTCGCTACGTGTTTTGATCAGAATGCGAAAAAAGAAGGAAATGGTTATAGCCCCATTGACACGCTGTGACGAGCTGACAGGTAGAATATTTTAACGCAAACCAAGGCGGGTTTATGGTTCGTACATGTTTCGTGACTAGAATTTTCTGGAAGTTGACCAAGGTCTACTGGCGGACTATATCGGCCCTTCTTCTATCGTTCTCAATGCGCCCGGACTGTTTCCAAGACTAAGCAATGCGGCTGATATTACTTTTTGATTCTTTCTCAGTTTACATGACACATCACTTTTAAAGGGAACTCTTCGTTTTCTCTCGTCCCCAGTGATTATCTTTCGGATTGGAACCCCTATGCAGCCACTCAGATGACACCTACTAATTATACTTCTCGTGGACGGAAAGGAGGCCGTAATCAATAGATAGGCCTAAACTGTGAATTATAGTACTGTTAGATGGCGAGGCGTTCATATGATTAGAGTTGTGGGCTGCACAGCACTTAATACAGCTTAACACTTTGTTCACCTTAGTCTTCTCCCAGGCATATCCTACGTGGTCACGCTGAAAGCACGATTAAAGACACTGACTGAGGTGTTAGTTTTTGTTGACCGTTTTAGCCATTCCGTTGTTTGCGACTGGGCAACTTTCTGCCGTTGTCGCTGTATATACTACTCTCCGCACGTCAACATATGCAACCATACGCGTTTATGCATGCATAAACGTGTTTTCCCAAGTCAATCTTTTACCCTTATCAAAATTTTTAACGACTTGAATTTTTCTTTGTTATCCGTCGTATCACTATCGAATGACATACCTGCATGCAGGGGTGAACCTTGTCATTTTCTTTCGAGTCGTTGTTCATCATCGCATGTTGTTTGCC